GGTTTCGAATAGCAAAATGTAGTGCATATAATCATTCGTGAACAAAAACATTCCGCCAATAGATGAAAAATCCGGTGCATGTAAGCTATAGGTACCTAAATTCCAACTAAAGCCTAAAGTGAATCAAATAACTAAGATCGCCAGATCCATGGATTCTCTTAAATGAGACACTGGTCAGCATGCTGATAATTGACATAGATAGATAAAGCCATAGGCATGAATGGATTTACGTAATTGCCGTAAATTTTAGTTATTTGGCCGGAAATCCGCCGTCCTGCTGATGCGGCTGAAGGCAAATTGAAAACAATCGTTTGGCACACGTTGAAAAACAGTTTAGCTCTTTAATTAACATTGTTTTGTTACCAATAGAGAGTCGTACTTTATTGTCCTTTTATGGGTGATTCTCGAAAATATTTTCAACATAAACTAAAACGACTAAAAACTTGGCCCTTTACAAGGTACTATTATTTGGTTGAAAAGGTTTACTTTCCTCGTATAAACATCCTTCCAGCGCTAAGCAAAAAGAACGTAAACGACATAGAGGTTTAAAAATCCTTTACTCTCGGAAGCGACATTCCTATATCACATTTTGCAGTGAGGAATTAGGTAAAAGTCAGAAACAACATATGTTCCCTTCGTTTTCCCATTCAGATGGGTGTTTTTATACATGAACCAGAAATTGTAGTTCCTTATCGCAAAACGTGGTCCACTTTTCGGTGGTTAGCGCCCATCCCATGCACAAACTAGGCATTTCATAGAGACTCATTGATGGTATTGTTGACTGATGAATTTCAAAGACCTTGAATTGCTCAATGAATTTCGTGCAGAAATGACAGAAAAATTAAAGAATTAGTGCTAGTTTGAGAGCCTCACTGCATCGCTCTTCTGGTGTAAGGGCGTATCTCGATTTCCGCATGGCACCCAGATCGCATGACTTTAAGAATAAAACAGGGGTCACGTAGGAATTACGATACGAGCGACAGAGGAGACACAGAGGAGCGAAGATTTGTGCGTGGAACGGGCTTTATGCACATCGCATCTGATCACTTTTCTTGGTGTCAATGTCAAAGGGCATGAAAAAAAGAAGACTCGGAAAAAGAAATCACTTAATTTAATGGCGTACAAAGTTTGAGAAATATACAGTTTATTTTCTCATAGAGAAAAAATCAGCGATAGCTGGTGATGTTAAACAAAAATTAATATTTTTCAAGTATTTACACAAAATTAGACACTATTTACATGAGCTGCGTGCATGGTAATGAAGTTTGAAGTTTGGCATGATAGAGATGACGTTCAAGAATGTTTAACTGTTCGGCAACTAACACAATTGAGGGGCTCAAGAAGTAAGTGCAAAAGTGCAGGTTTTTTTTTTAAAAAAAAATTGAGTTATTAATAATTTCAAGTAACTAAATTTTCTTTCCCCCATAAGGACCCATGTAATTTTGAAACTTCAAATACATATTACTCGAAATAACAAAAACTGCACTTATGCGTCTTGTCTTCCAAGCCCCTCGATTGACTATTCATAGGAAGGGGACCTTGGTCTAAGGAGACAAACATTTTCAGATGAGCGACTTTTTTCGGCGCAGGTCGGAAAATCGGATTTTAGATTTTCGGTCAGAGAGTCTTTTTTAGTATCCCATCGCACACAAGCATTAAGCTAGTTTGTGTGCAAATAGAGTGACGAAGCTCAGAACTCTCGGCACTAAAATTTTGAGTAGATTTTACCCGAAACTACGTTTATTGAACTGCAGACTTTACATTGTCATTTCTTGAGTTATGTTGACCATTTTTGTGCATCTTTCGAGTCAAAATGTGCGTAAAGGACTCCTTCGTGCTCTAATATGTACAAGTCAATCTTGAATTTTTTGAGACTAAGATCCTCATTCCTGTGGCAGGAATTATGCATTAGATGAGTGATCAGAAAAAAAAAATCTTTCTACCTTCACTTCTCATATCATTGATTAGGTTACTCTTATTACTCACATTGTTCGAAGGGAAGCGGTAATTGAATGTTCATTTCGCACGTTCAACAGTTCAAATATTTAGTTCTTATCGACGACTCTCTTGAAATTATACATGAGGCCCTTTTTGCATAATGCGATTACCAACTATATTTGCGCGAAGCAAACACGAAAAAACCGCCGCATATTTGTTCACTCTGCTGCTGTGTCCTCTCATACGGTGATAGAATGTAGCTTTTAAAGTTTCGTGCTCTCTAGGTATGCACAGAGGATGAATCAAATATTTCGCCGACAGACGACCGTTGCAACTCTTCGTAAATATATTAGCAACCGGCTTTTTTTCTCTTCTTTCAACTCGCCACATAATACGTTACTCTTACTCACAGGTAGGGATTCCGTTGTTTTGATAATCGAATATGGAGGTTTCTATGAAATATAGTTTGTACAGAAATAGAAGCCTAATCTAATCATTACTTTTAACACTAAATTTGAGCATTTTACTTTAACAACCTGCTTAAACTTTTAAGCATATGTTTTCAAATACAATTTGAAAATTATATCCTTTCAGTTTGCACTCGAAGCTTAGACAAATTCAACACAGTGCGCACTCAATAGCGTTTTTATTTGTGAGTATAAACATTATCACTTGTAATACGTACACTTAAAGACTGAATGTGCTTGTAGGAGTCAAAATTATAAGACAACTTGAAGATGGCGGAGACAGAATGACATTCGTCCCTTTCTGATTAGGACGATCTAACATTGTATTTTTATAAAATCACTATGAACATAGGTTTAAAAAAGTGCGCTTGGCAGAGTTTAATGAAACCCAAAAAGTGATGGTTTACATGAAAAATAACACATCCCGGACTCGGAACGTGTATAATAGTAGTTATAGTCGACTTTTTTTCTCTAAAATTCTAAAATATACATCCAATACAATAAACATGATTAGACAAATCGGAAGTCCAAAGATGGAAATTTAGATTGCTCTTCCTCAAAGTATACAGAAAAGTCGAAAATCGCATTAACACAGATCTATAATAATCTTACTGGAAGTTGATCGAAGCAACAAAGAGGTATAGAGTTTTGCCATTCAAGATACCATCTCCTTGCTGCAGGTCTTCAACCGTGGTACTACTGTTTCGGAAGACAATGATGAACAAAACGGTCGTATGTATTTAGACTGCTCTTCCTCAAAGTATGCAGACAAGTCTAAACCCGCATTTACACAGATCTATAATCATACTGGAAGTTGATCGAAACAAAAAAGAGGTAAAGAGTTTTACCATTCAAGATCCCATCTTCTTGTTACAGGTCTTCAACCACCGTGCTACTGTTTCGGAAGACAATGATTAAACGGTCGAATGTAAGTATAATGTCTAACTTTATAGAATCATTCGAAAATATTGACAATTTTGGAACTTTGTAAGAAAGTCAATTATCATCGTAGTTTTGGGATCGAGCACTTCGTTAAATTGACAGGAAAATATAAAACGCCTTCAAATTTTATGAATGCAACAATTGCAACATAGATAGCCCTTAAGGTATGATAGTTTCATCCAGACGTTATAGCTGTCAATAATTGATGAATCAAGTCGTATGGAATACCGCCTTTAAGTCTATTTTTCCAGTCTTGAGCTCCTTGTGTTGATAGTACTTTTCAGAGTTACATGTTACCATGAAAATTGTGTTATAACTCGTTTTAATCTTAATCCCAAAATTAGTCTTTGCACCACTTTCATGATCACATTAACTCTTGAACAGTATTATTAACAAGAAAAAACTATCCTAGGAAATGAGCATTGACGATTTTCACACGATACGATTGAATTGTTAGTTACGTTCTAGTTTCCCACGGCATGATGTGCGAAAAATTAAGTATGATATGTGAATGACTATAATAAAAAAGGTTTCGAGAACTGTCATACGCACAGAAAAAAATCTCGGTTACTCAAACCGATCAGTTAAGTCCGCACTTTCTGGCTCAAATGATACTAAATTCTGTATGGTTTAAACTTTGATGAAAAATATCCGAGTAACAAATTGATTCTGGATTTGCACTCTAATCAGCTCGGTAAGACGAAACAAGTGATACAATTATTCAGACTTTCAAGTAGGTAAAATTGCATATCCACAAACATGAAGTAAAAGTTGCACTCTTTTCCCACTGACTTTAGAGACTTTTGAACGCAAGAGTAGAAAAGTTAGATGGGGCGAAACACATAATACAACTATTTTGCCGACTTTAAAATAGGTGAAATTGTACAGCCACAAAAATAAAGGAGCACCTAGTCTCTCCCGCTGTTTCAATGCGTGGTATAGAAAAGTTAGATGGGGCGGAATACGTGATACAATTATTCAGACTTTCAAGTAGGTAAAATTGCATATCTACGAAACTTAAAACCTTGGGTTTTACAGAACAGTTTCCATAACAGTCGAGATGTTTGGGCTCGCTCAATTGAACCCTCAGTCCATTGAACCGAAGTTCAGATCTGCTGACCTCAGAAGTTGGTTCTGCGACCGCTGATTTAGTACTATGAACCAAAAAGACCTCACTGAATTTATTAGTCCGTCCAACCGAGGTTTTTTTCTCCGTGTAAGTGATATATTTTTATTGATGATACCTAGCCATCTAGAGAATGCTCGCAGCGATGTTGCAATTTTGGACGACAGAAAGGCATAGAGAAAAACAGAGGGTGATCGCCAGTTAACTTTTCCCGACCGCGGAAACCGTACCTACGGGCTATATAGACAAACCGTCCACGTTCCGGCCTCAGAGACCGAAAGTTTTGGGCGAAGCACCCGGAGCAGTCGAAGATCCCGGCTCCAGCACCTGGAATTTTTGGCCTCTGAAGCCGAAACGGACAGCACGTGTATATAGCCTGTGACTTTTTTATTCAGTGCAAGTTCATACGGCGCACGGTGGATCGAGTCAATTAGAGAGGTCGGACATGAAATATTTTCCTGAAACTGCAAATTTTTATGTAAATTTCGTCACATTTCAAATTTCAAGGTGTGCTTTTAGAAGAAAATGTCACGAGGAAACCGATTAAACCACTTTTGTAACCTCAAAGTCTTGTATGAACGGAGTTACGAGCTTTTAAAGTTTCCAAATTTTGTCCGACTTCTCCCATTGATTCGGTCCACCGTGCGGCGTTGCTCGGAAACAATGATTGGTAGGGTCTAATTGAGCGTAGTGGTTCCTTGCGATATACTAGCTTGTAAGTGCTCGGCGCCTTGGATGGAGAAATGCCTGTAGGAGAGATACTCGGGCGGTAGCGGTGGGTCTCTCTTGGCGGTGGCCCTTTGCTTCTTGATCTTCAAGTACCCGAGAACGGAGATGAGGATGATGAAGACGAGGAAGCCCATGCAACTGCCGATGATGAGCCCGAGTCTGCGGGTGAGGATGGAGCCCTCCTTGTAGCGGTTGCTGTCCATGGCCAGGACGTCGTTGTCCTCGTCGACCCCGGTCGTCGCCTCCGTGCACATGCTCTGCAGCTCCGTCCAGTTCCCGTTCCCTTCTTGGCTCACGCTCTCGGCTTCCGTGTCCGGCCCGGAGCTGAGTTTGCCCGCCTTGAAGAAGGAGTTGGAGCCCAGCACCGTCTCCGCCTCCCAGCTGTTGAGCCCGTAAACGCAGATCGTGTACTTCGTGTTGGATTTCAGGTTCGTCAGCCGCGACGAGCGGGTGTTCTGGTCCAGGATTTTCCCGATGTCCTGTCGACAACAATCAATATCCAAAATTAGATTCGAAGTATGAATTCACGCCTTCAATTTACGAGGGAGAAGTATTTTCTTGCATGTGTCAGGGATATATCGACGGTGTAAGTCGGCAATCACATAACTCGTTTGCGGTGTCTGAAAATTTCCGCATCTATGTTATTATTTTATAAAGGAGAACAAATTCACATCATTCCTTGACGTTTTTGGAGAATTTTCTTCGCACAGAGAAGAAAAATAGACCGTTTTAAAGAATTGCCGTTGGGTGGTTTTCTGTTTAAAAAATAAAGTATGACAGAAAGTCGGCGACGTCGCAAACCGAGTTATGTGATTGCCGATTTACACCGTCGATGTGCGATTTAAGTACTTTTTCTCTTTAAAAGAGCCTTACATAAAAAGGGCCGAAATTCGCCCGTTTTTCCGCCCTCGTAGTTGAACCGATTATTTTCCAATCACGTAAGCACCAATCGCTATTTTGATGGTAGAGGGGTTGTTTTTTCTTTGTTTTCTTTGGTATAATCAATCAAGTCTGATTTCAACATAGCCTATTAGGAGAACCTACATTTTTAGGAATTCAAAAATTTTCAACAAAGCGAATAAAACGTTCTATTCTTTAATCGATCGATTCTTGTTTTTCTTGCATTCGCAGTTTTGGCGCTTACGTGTTTTGGTAAATAATCGGTTTGGCTGGAATCCGCGTGATGTTATTTTTCATCCTTAGGATGATCCTTGAGAGCTGAGGATCGCACGAGGAACGATTCTTTTCTCTCCGTATAAAGTTCTGTAAGGCAATAACTCATACTCTCATTTTATTTTATTAGTTTTTCTTAGACGAAAATAACGCAATGTCTAGAATTTCGAACTTACAGCTAGTTACGTTAAGAGATTTCATAGAGAACAAACGCTGGTAAAACCTTTGAATTTGGGGGAAAGAAACAGGGATCGACCACCCGAAGCTCGAACGGAGGGAAGAGGTCGGGGCACTGA